CCTAAACTCCCATATCTGTCCAAAAACAAGTGTCCATGCAATATCACTCTATGTACTACACACCTTAATCTGTCCAAAACAGAAGCACACCTTAAGCTGTCCAAAACAGAAGCACACCTTTATCTGTCCAAAACAGAAGCACACCTTTATCTGTCCAAAATAGAAGCACACCCTAAACACACAACAAAAAGCTTTACACTCAACAGGGGTGGCAGTCCAAAAACAATCATCCAGGCAATACACACCCTAATCTGTCCAAAAAAGAAGCATCCATGCAAACAACACATAATAACTTCACAGTCTAAACGTTTGACTGTTTATCTGTGTGAATTTTAGTCAATAACTCTGCCCAACGACCAAGTGCTTCTTCTTCCTTTTGCCCTTCCTTTTGCCTTCTTTTTTCCCATAATTGTGCTTGTAAGTTAGTGGCAGTAACAAATTGCCTACTGCGCCTACTGCTTCCTGAGGGAGTTGTTGCTGTTATAGATGGAGCTGCCATTGGTGCAGGTAGTGTAGGTACTATAGGTAGTGTAGGTACTATTGGTGTAGGTACTATTGGTGTAGGTGCTGTTGGTGTAGGTGCTGTTGGTGCAGGTGTTGTTGGTGCATGTGTTGTTGGTGCATATCCAAACGACAAAATTCTTTCACTTTTATGTCCAGGCTGTAATAAACATTAATTACGTTAAGCAAGCATAATACACTAAATTAATTTTGCATGGAAATAAGAAGAACATATAGCTAAACTAATCCACATACATTTAATTTGGAAAAACCTGTATTCAGATTCACATATGTTCCAAAACCTTCAAATTGTTGCTTCCCCTTCCCTTTTGGATAGGCATGCTTGACTTTTTGTGTTTTTGTGGATTGTGAATGGGTTTCAGATAGAGGTGCAGATGGTGAATCCTGAATATTAGATGCAGCACCAGTCAATGTGCATAGAAATATTGTGAGACTTTTATCCATTAATAAAAACAAACTTAAGTTGTTATTTACCTCTTGCTGGGTTGGGGTTGGGTATTTTTCCTTGCTCTCTTTTCTGCCTTCTTCTACAAACATGATCCACAAAGTTAGCATTATTTTAGGGTAAAAAATTAAATTAAACAAAAAAAAAATTGAGTTGTTAAACCCATTACTGGCCGATCAGCGCTTCTAGCTCTCTCTTTCTTTCTTGTAGTGGGAGTTGTGGCTTGTTGAACTGGTGGAGTTGGG